TGTCTTGGCTGGGAACAAAAAAGGACCAGTGCATGGGACTGGAAACCTTGAATTTCCGAATTGAGACCTTGTTTAGACTTAAAGTGACCATAGGACATTCCTCCCCCGAGAGTGATTGGAAAAGTCATGGATCACCCAGATTTTCATCTCCCACTGCACTGGGCTGAACAATGTCCCCCCCCCAATCCATGTCTACCCAGAACCTCAGAATGTAACTTTATTTGGAAATAGGGTCTTTACAGCTGAAATCGAGTTAAGATGAGTTAAAAAGGTTGGGGTCTAAATCCACTGAGCAGTGCCCTTATAAGGAGTGTGGAGGGGAGAGGAATTGGGCCACAGACACACACAGAAGGAAGGCAGGTGAGACACAGAGACACAGGGCAGAAGGTCACGTGCCAATGGAGGCAGAGACAGGAGAGATGCGTCTATGAGCCAAGTAACGCCAAGATCACGGACAGCCACTGGAAGCTGGAAGAGGCTGTGGAGATGCCTCCCTGGAGCCCTTGGGGGGAGTGTAGTCCTTCTGGCCCCCCACTTTCAGACTTCAGCCTCCGGACCTACAAGAGTATAAATTGCTGTCATGAGCCCCCAGTTTGCGGCACTGTTACAACCCTCAGAAATTAACACACTCGCCATCTAAAGTTAGTGTCCCACTGGCTCGTTCCACAGCCCAGCCAACGGCAGGTGTCATGTGGTGCCCTCTGAGGCCTCGCTGGGCCCACTCGACAGAGGGGAGCCCCTGCCTGGGGCTGCCCTGCCCACGGTTAGGTAGCTGCTGGTGGTACGGTTACCAAATCAGATGTGCCAACCCCATCCCTCCCCGGCGCCTGCGTGGAGGATTCGGAGACAACCGTTGCCAGCCCCTGTTCCTCTCCTAGGGGCTGGCCCCAAATGTCCCATGACCCTCTCCACATTCAGATCCAGTTCATTGATGGGTATAAATCCAAGATGAGAGGCTTAAACAAGAGCCCTTGAATCTAATTAAAATCCTGCCAGCCACAACGCTGAGGCTACTCCCAGCAAGTGTCCTCTGTGGCGTTCCTAAGACGACATTCCCCTTCTCATCTCCGCGGAAAGTATGTCTCTGGCTTTTTTTTTTTTTTGCCCATTCATTTGCGCTAGGCTCCCGTGTGCTTTAAACTCCAGATCTAGTTTGCTTGAGGGAATCAGGCCACCGAGACACTCTTCCAAATACCCACGTGGACCCGGATTTTCCCAAGTGACACTTCGTCGGCTCACAGATACCAGTGATCGACAGATAATGCCCAGAGGAGGAAAGCATCGCCAACAGCCTGGCTCATCAGGGGCCTGGGTGCAGCCTCTTGTCAGTATTGGGTACCAAGTCTCTCCAAGTCAGAGGTGTGTCTTCCAATCAAATTAGTGCCCAGAGCAGATGGAAATGGATTTGAATTTCACAGCTAAGCGAGAAGGTCATACTTTTTCTATTTCAGAATGTACAGACTCTATTTCCCTTACAGGTATCAAGGACTTGGATTCTGCGTCTTTTTCTTTCTCGTTTATTTTATTTTTATTATTCATGTTAATAATGCCTTTCATACAGCTTACAAAAAGCCTTCCAAGAGAGCAGGGCCATACTCGTTTTATAGACGAGATCCGTGCAGCTACTGCCTGGGAAATTTCCCAAAACCCCTGGTCTCTCATCTCCAATTCAAAGCTCTCCCCCCTATATTACCTCTTCCAGAAGCTAATGAATGAAAATCTGTAGTGAAGGAAACTCAAGAGTCCATTTAATGAAATCACTTTGGGAAACCGGTCAGAATCTATGAACCAGAAGATTCCTTGCACAGAAGGCTAGTAAAAAGATCCAAGGAGAATTCCTCCACCTCCCAAAGCAGTGGGACTCTGGAAGAGACTCCCCTGGTGACATCTGTCCCTTCTTCCAAAGCAAATTAACAGAAGTGAGCCTGTGCTCATGGTTTGCCCACTCCTGGAGGATTCCTGGTGTGGACTGCAGAGGAATGCTGCGTCTACATCCAGTTCCCCACCCCCTGCCAGAGTCCTGACTCCCCAGAGAGGTAGAGAGACTGGAGAAGTCTGAAGATCCCCAGTTCCACTGTTCGCTCACTGTCACGGGCTGAATTGTGCCCCCCAAAGTTACATGTTAAAGCCCTAACTCCCATCCCTCAGGACGTGACTGTCTGTATTTGGACACCTTTGAGAAAGTGACAAAGTTAAAATGAGACCATCAGAGTGGGCCCCAATCCAGTCTGACCAGTGTCCTTATAAGAAGAGGAAATTCGGGCCTCCAGAGAGACACCAGGGATGCACGCGCACCCAAAAAGACCACGTGAAGACACAATGGGAAGGTGGCCATCTGCAGGCCAGGGAGAGCGGCCTCAGAAGATATCAGACCTGCTGACACCTTGATCTTGTACTTCTAGCCTCCAGAACTGTGAGAACTGTGAGAACATAAATGTCTGTTGTTTAAGCCCCCCGGCTTATGGGATTCAGTTATAAAGGCCCTAGCAAACCAACACACTCTGCAGCTCATTTGAACATCCATGGCCTCAAGCTTCTGATCTGCCATAGGGATGGCTCCCTGCCCTCTTGACCTCACGGGGTCAATGTCGAGGAGTCACTGGAATCATGGACAAAAAAGTCTTTTGTAAGACACAGAGCACCAAACAGCTGGGAGACTGGAGAGTATGGTGCCCGAGGGCAGCAGGTCCAAGGCTGGGGCTGCGAAACATCTGGGGTCAGACACTCACAGAGCATCTGCCCCTGGCTTGAAATGGGCCTCGAAAGCCAGTGTGGTCTTTCAGGGGCTAATTTTTACAAAAACCCTAAAAATGTCCATTGTCTTGTGCTCAACAATGCCACCTCTAGAAGATAAGCAGAGAAGTGACGTAATATCATGGGAAAAAAATCCTCCTCCGGGACAGAAGGGTATCCTGGAAAAGAGTGTCTGATTGGCCACTTTGCCTGGAAGGATGGATCTGCTCTCTGTTCGGACTCCTGGGCAGAAGCTCATGATTTGGCTCAGTGGTCAGTCAGTTTCAGAGCAAATGTGTGAGATTTCTTTTTTAAGATTTTATTTATTTATTTATTTAAAGCACATGTGAGCAGGGGGAGGGGCAGAGGGAGAGGGAGAGGGAGAGAAAGAATCTCCAGCAGACTTCCCACCGAGTGCAGAGCCTGACGTGGGGCTCGATCCCATGACCCTGAGATCATGACCTGAGCCAGAATCAAGAGTTGGACATTTAACCGACTGAGCCACCCAGGCGCCCCGAGATTCTTTTCTTCCATCAACTGCAATAGAATGAATGTCTGTGTCTCCCCCAAATTCATATGTTGAAACCCCAATCCCAGTGTGATGGTATTTGGAGGTGGGGCCTTTGGGAGGTAATTAGGTCATGAGGGGGACCTTGTAAGAAGAGGCCAGAGAGAGCCAGCTCTCTCTTTCCTCCATGTGAGGATCCAATGAGGTCAGCAGTCTGCAACCGGGAGAGAGAGCTCACCAGAACCCGACTATATTGGTGCCCTTACCTCAGATATTCAGCTTCCAGAACAGAGAGAAATAGATTTTTATGATATAAAAGCCACCCAGTCTGTGGTACGTTGTCATAGCAGCCTGAACTAAGACACCAACCAGTCGACACCAGTGGGTGTCCTACGATTCCATTCAACTCTGACACTATCTCCCTGAAATTAGCATCCCATTCCAAAGTTAAAGGGCTCAAGACTGTCCCCACCTCAGACCCCAGTCACAAGCCTGAGCCTCCTGTACTTCTGACCGATTGGCTATACATGGAAGGTTCCCACAACTCCTTCTGCAGGTTTGATATTTGCTAGAACAGCTCACAGAACTCAGGAAGGCACTTTACTTACTATTACTGGTTTATCACAAAAGATACAACTCAGGGAGAGCCAAGTGGAAGAGATGGACAGGGTAAGGTAGGGATGGAGGGGTGCAGAGCTGCCACACCCTCTCCAGCTGAGCCCCCCTCCCAGCACCTTCATGGGTTCACCAACCCAGAGGTTCCTCAAGCCCTGCCATTTAGGGATTTTTATGGAGGATTCATCATATATGTGTGATCAATTATTAACTCAATTTCCCACCCACCTCCCCTTCCCAGAGGTTGGGGGAGGGGAATGAAAGTTCCAACCTTCTAATCAAGGTTTGATCATTTTGGTGACTAGCCCCCATTCTGAAGCCATCTAGGGGTCCAGCAAGAATCACCTCATTAAAACAAAAGATGTTCCTATCACTCTGGAAATCCCAAGGGATTTAGGAACTCTGTATCAGGAATGGAACTGGGGATAAAGACCAAACATTTATTTTTTATTATGCCACAGTCAGGAGATAAGAAACAACAAGAGTAGAACACTGGTCGCAAGGATATCTAGGAAAGGGGTATGTGGATGCTCTGAGCCTTGCGAGTGTTCACCAAAGGCGGTCACTGTGGTGCAGGCTCGCAGGAAACAGGGTGCAAAGTGTTCCAAACTGAGGACCTAAATTTGCAGCCAAGCAAATTGTTTCTCACATGGGTAAATTTTATAGTACACTGTGGTGGTGCAGAGCAGGGAATTTGTCTGGGTAAATATGATTATTGGTTCTCTTAAGCAACACCAAAGAAGCCAGCTGGTTTAATTTATAATAAAATTTCAATTCACTGGTAACAGGATATATTAATGAAATTTTTGAAATTTTGGTATAATTAGATATCCATTTAGAAGGGAACAAAGTTGAATATCTACCTCACACCATAGACACAAAAATCCTAATCAAGTCAATATTCACGCATATGTATTCACATATACAACAGTGATATGAAACATAGGAAGGTGTATTTATAAGTTTGGGCTGTGTAGTTCCTCTTTAGGCATAATATGCAAATTCAGAAGCCAAAAAGGCAAATCTTGGGTATTTGATTACATTAAAAATTTAATTTCAGTACAGCAAAAAACATTATAATTATAGCTAAAAAATAAATGACAGATGGGAGAAAATATTTGTAGCATATTTATTCATTCATCATTCAACAAACATTTAGTGAGCAGCTACTATGTCCCAGGCACAATGCTAGATGCTCATAAAATTATTTTTAAAATATACACAAATTTGCATTTTTACTAAAATTTTTAATGTAAGTGTGACTAGACAAAATGTTTATATACAAAACATGTGAAGTTATATACCTAAAATAAAAATTGAAAATAAGCTACAAATATAAACAACAAAATAAAATAAATCCACAAGGGGCTCCTGGGTGGCTCAGTCAGTTGGGCATCCAACTCTTGATTTCGGCTCAGGTCAAGGTCTCAGGGTTGTGGGATCATGCCCATGTGCTGGGCATAGGATTCTCTCTCTCCCTCTCCCACTGCCTCTCCCTGTCCTGCTCATACACTCTCTGTCTCTTAAAATAAAATAAAAATAAGAACAAAAAAATTAAAAATAAAGGCACACACACACAAAAGATTTGTTTAATGTATGTTAGGATTAGTTTTGACTGCATATAAAAACTCAAAAAAGCAGTGGCTTAAACACAATAAAAGTACATTTCTCTCTCACACAAAAAGGTGTAGATGAAGGTCAGCCAGAAATGGTACAGCAGTTCCATTGTCAACAGGGACCCAGCATTCTTCCTTCTTTCTGTTCCACTATTCCAGTACTTGGTGCCATCTTCAAGGCAACCTCACGTTCCAAACTGGCTACCAGAGTTCCAGCCATCCAATCAGCATTCCAGGCAGCAGAAAGGGGAAAGAGGGACAGAACAAAAGTGCATCCTCCCTACTGGATTGACTCCCCGCAAGCAGCCCTTCTGTCCTGCCAACATCTCATGGGCCACCCCCTGCTTCAAGAGAGACTGTTTAATGTAGTTTTAGCCAGGTGCATTTTCACCACAAATACACTTTGGCTCTGCTACTAAGAAGGAATGGAAAAATTAGTACTGGATGACAACTAGAAACTTCTGCCACAGTAGACAAATACTAACAACAAAAGCTGGCCCGACAAAATTAAAATAAGAATTTATGGCAGAAAGCATTATTAAGCATACATAAATATACAACATAATGATAAAGTGTACTATCATCCAAATCATGAATTTGCATGCACCTAACAACATAACTTCAATATGCACAAAGCAAAAACTGACTCATTTACAATGAGAAATGGAAGAGCCACAGGCATGAAGGAAGGACTTTGATAGGCAGATAAAAAATGTTGTAATCATTTATAATGTCTGCATAACATAATTCACAGCTTAATCTACTTCATGTATTCAGATGCAACAAATAGGCAATATTGATTATTTTCAAGCACACACTGAACATATGTAAAAATTGACCATTCATGAGGTCACAGAGGAAGTCTTAAGAAATACTGAAAAATCTGTATCTTATAGGCCACAATCTCTGAGCACAATGCAGTTAAACTGGAGAACCACACTTTAAAAAAAAATTTTTAACCCCACTCATTTAGAAATAAGAAATGAACCTTTAGATTATAGAGGATTATAATCTAAATTGTAGATTATAACTCTAGATTATAAAGGAACCTACAAATACATGACAAAATATTGAGAATTGGATGTTGACAGAGGTACTGCTTTTCAAAATTTGTGGGATGCAGCTAAAGTGCACAGCTACTTAGTTCTAAATGTATACCCTTAACTGTGATATATTTTTTAAAAACAATGAAGATTGAAAACAATGACTGAAACAGTCAACTCGGGAAGCTAGAAAAATATTAAAGAGAAAACCAAAGAAAGTAGAAGGAATGACATAAAAATGGTAAAAGAAAACCTAACGAAATAGGAACTTTTAAATACTGGAGATAATTAGTGTCACTGGAGACTGTGAATTCCCTGCCTCTGAGGCTTCCTTCCAAGGGGCCAGACTGGTGCACTCAACAGGGATGTGATAAAGACCCTTCCTTCTGCATCTTCTAAGTCTCTAAAGATGGCACCAACCTCTATTATTCCTCCAGAAACGCAACATTGATTTCAATGTGCTCACTTAGCTGGCATGGGGCCGGGGGAAGAGGACCTAGGAGGGCTGTCTGAGGAATTCCACTGGCCTTTGCTAATACAATAGCTCAAGCTCTGTAGCTAAAGGAACAGACATAAAGGTTCTGCTAACTGCTAAGTATTTTATTTCATTTACACGTTCAGGGACCGGGGAAATGACCACCAAGGGGGCCTCTGGATACAACAGGCCCATCGTGGGATGGACTTTAGCCAGGAATCCATGTATGACCAGGTCCCCCCCGCACTCTTCTCTACCACTACATCATGGCCCCCAGGTATTGGGGCATCAATGTCAATTTGGACCCTACATCCAACAGCCCTCGAATGATCTGGGTAGCCTGTTGCAGCAGCCCTGGGGACGTGCCCCTCAGCTCTCCCTTCAAGAGAGAACCTGCCAAGGGGTGCCTGGCTGGCTCAGTCAGAAGAGCGTGCAACTCTTGATCTTATGGTTGTGAGTTCGATCCCCACAGTGGTGCAGAGATTACTAAAATAAATAAATAAATAAATTTTAAAAAGAGGGAGAGAGAGAGAGCCTGCCAGAAGGCAGTCAGCTCCCCACCTCCATAGTGGGGCCACCATGTTGGAGCCAAGGCCATGCACTCCCCCTGGCCACTCCCAGTCAATGACTATACACAGCAGGAGCCATAGGGCCTGGCATTCTCTTCATAGTGTGGGACTCTTCTAAAGGGCAACCTTTGCGTTCTGACTCCCTCGGGGCCACACTGCAGGTGGACTTCTCCCCTGCAATCCTCCTTCCTTCCTCATCTCCTTTCACAGGTACCAGTTGGCTTTTCGAAGCCACTCCTGCTCCCTCCCTGGGCCTTTCACAGGTGATGCCCCTACAAATCTCTCACCCCTCTCACTCCATCTGTTCATTCCCAGAGGACCGGAACTGACACACAACCTTGCCCCAAGGATGGTTACTAGACTGAATGGCTGGAGCTTTTTGTTATGGGTTGAATTGCGTCCCCCTCAAAATATGTTGAAGTTCTAGCCCCCCACCCCAGTACCTGTGACTGTGACCTCATCTGCAAATAAGGTCTTGGTAGATGATCAAGCTAAGTTGTGGTCATTAGGGTGGGCCCTAATCCCATATGACTGTCCTGATTAAAAGGAGAAACTTGGACACAGAGACAAGGCCACGTGAAGCAGCAGGCAGAGATCAGGGTGATGCTTCCACAAGCCCAGGATTGCCATAGATTGCCGGCTAACCCCCAGAAGCTGGGGGAGAGGCCTGGACCAGATTGTCCCTCATGTCCTTCGAAAGAAACCAACCCTGCCAACCCCTTGATTTCTGACTTCTGGCCTCCAGAACTACTAGACAATAAATTTTTGTTGTTTAAGCTGCCCCGTTTGTGATATTTTGTTACAGCAGCCCTAGCAAACTCATACAGTGCCTTTGGGAAAAGACTGGAAAAAATCACTCTCTCTGTTTGCCATGATATCTCAGGGTCCTTCTTTATGGAACCTACCCTTTCGTTAGTTGATGGATTCTGAGTTTAAGAACTTGTTCAAGTTTGGATAAAGGATCATTACCTTCCATTGAGGCAACTGACCTCCACCCCCTGCTAATTCATTCTTGATCACTTTTTCTTCTTTTTTTTTTTAGAGAGAGAGTGAGAAAGAGTGCACACCAGGGTTGGGGGGAGAGACAGAGGGAGAGGGAAAGAGAGGATCCCAAGCAGGCTTCATGCCCAGTGTAGAGCCCGATGCGGGGCTTGATCTCATGACACTGAGATCATGACCTGAGCTTTAACCCACTGAGCCATCCAGGCACTCCAACTTTTTTTTAAGATTCTATTTTTTTTAAGTTTTCTCTACATCCAACATGGGGCTCAAACTTACAACCCTGAGATCAGAGTCACATGCTCTACCCACTGAGCCAGCCAGGTGTCCCATTCTTGATCACTTTTGATTATATACATTAAACAGTAACCTCACTGGCTGCCCATGTATCTCGCCCCTGGAAATGTCATGTGCATTAGTCATCTCCATAGGTCCTTGCAGTCATCTCCATAGGCAGCCCCTGGCTGCCATCCCGACCTTGCTGTCCTTTCTGGTAATTGTATCCACCTTGCTTGTGACAGTTAAGGCTGGCATTATAGGATTCTCTCATCTCCATCGCTACTAGGGAATTCAGTTCCATAGCAGCATCTCCACTGTCAGCCCCAGGCTACAGAGGACACTGCCCCCTGGGATTCTCAATGATGCTGGTGTCTCCTCCCCTATCCATTCCTTATCACCTTCATAAAGAAGTGCGCTTGCCCAAGGAACTTAGTCAGACACTGGGTTTTCCAGTCTACAGTAGAAGACCCAACCTAGCTTGCCCACTTCTCTGAGCCTCTGTATACCTTCCTCCGTGGTCTGCCACAGCTGTTCAGCACCTGCTTCCTTGAATGGGCACCATCACGACTCCCAATGTTCTGAGAACTATCTCTCAAGAGCCTTTCCAGGTGTCAAATCTGAGAGAGCCTTTCCATACTGTTAAATTCTTCAGTGTTCTGCTATATTCAGCTTCCCTTGACCTGGCACCTTCAGAGTCCACTCCTGGGACTGTTCTCCCAGTCTCTGCCCGTCCCTGTAGGCTTACTCCTGTAGCTCCTCGATTCATTCCTCTTGTCCCTTAACAGGCAAAACACTCCCCTGGTCAGGTCACGTTGAGATGTGATTGCACTTTGGGGCCTGGTGGCCAGGAGAGGAGGTGGGAGCAGATCCTGAAGAGGGTAAGCCTTGTCTGGAAGGGGCAGTTATGCGAGGTTTCTGTATGGTCTTTAAACAAGAGGGAGACTTCTATCTTCCAACAGGATGAGTGGGCCACTTTAGCAGTCCAGAGAGTACAGGAGGTCCGGGGTTCAAGGTTGTCAAGTTCATCTCCCTGATAGCTCCATCCCAGGACTCAGGTCCCCACCCCACCCCCTTGGGGCCCTGATTTTGGAGGAGAGACGTCCCCAGGCTGGGATTCAGCCTTCTCTGAAATTCTATTACAGTTAAGTCCTGAGCCTGTCTCCAGCTGTCTGCCCTCTGGCTGTAGTAAAGTTTCCTTAAATACTGCAAAGGAATCCTCCTGAGTTTGCTTTAAATTGGTGATCAACGTCCTGAGCTTGTCATTGTCTTTTCTCAAATCATCAATGGTACCCAGCAACAGCCTCCCTGTTCCGAAGTCCCTAGGATTATTATTTTCCCCAATGTCTTTCAAGCCCCAGGGATACTGCACAAGCCACAACATTCCCTGCCACCTGAGTCCTGTCCCAAGTGACCAAGGTAGAAGCTGAGCATCAGGGACCACCAGGGCTCCACTTCCCACCAGGGGGGAGGGGAGGGGCCCTCAGCGCAACTGAAAAGGAAGGCATCCAACTTCAAAATCCCATCTTTCTTTTTTTTTAAAGCTTTTATTTATTTATTTATTTGACAGAGAGAGACACAGCGAGAGAGGGAACACAAGTAGGGGGAGTGGGAGAGGGAGAAGCAGGCTTCTCGCTGAGCAGGGAGCCCGATGCAGGGCTCGATCCCAGGACCCTGGGATCGTGACCTGAGCCGAAGGCAGACGCCCAACCAACTGAGCCACCCAGGCGCCCCTGCAAAATCCCGTCTTTGGTGTTTGCCTCCTAGGACCACTTTCAACACTACCTGCCTTCGGTTGTCTAGAAGCAGAGCCTGAGACACGGTTTTTCAGTTTTTTGGTAGCAGGGATTTGCCAGGGGGAGCTCCTTGGGACAAGAGTGAGGGAAGCAGGATAGGGAAGAGGGGAAGGTGAGTAATGACACCATTTCAGACGAAGCTCAGCCTTGACCTGATGCACAAATTGAACCATGAACTTATCCCGGTCTGAGGTGAAGGAACAGCTTCTTACACCCTGAATCAGTTGGCCACAGGCTATGGGCTGTCCCCTGAACCT